CCCCTGATGGGAATAATTGAGTAGTAACTGGACATAGGTCAGGTGTGGCTCCAGGAAGTGGTTCATTGGGGGCGTGACTGTGGGCATATATTTTGTATCTGGAGAGTGGATTCTCTCTTTCTCTGCTTGCTGATCACCATGTGAGCTGCTTCCTTCTGCCATACTCTTCTGCCATGTTGTTCCCGCCTCACCTGGAGCCCCGTGGAACAAAGCTGCTATCTATGGAAGGAGACCTCTGAAACCAAGAGCCTCTCAATAAACCTTTCCTCCTATATAGTTGTTCTGATTGGGTCTTTTAGTCACAGCAGCGACAAAGCTGACTAAAATAATTCCAGATCATTTTTTTTTAATTATACATATTTATGGGTTACAGTGTGTTGGTTTGATACAGGTATCATAGAGACATATATACATATACAATGTATAATGATAAATCATGGCGATTTACATTTCTGTCTTCTTACACATGTATTTCTTTGTGCTGGGGCTATGGTTTGGATCCAAATGTCCTCCACAGTCCGTGTGTTGGAAGCATGGTACCTGTGCAGCAAGGTGCAGAGGTGGATCTCTTCGATAATGATTAGATCATGTGACCTCTGACCTCATCAGTGGATTAATCATTGGACTGATACATTCATCAGTGGATTGATACACTGATGGCTGAATGAACTACTGGGAAGAGGGACCTGGGTGACAGAGGCTGGTCACTTGGGGTGTGTCCCAGAAAGGCTTATCTTCCTCCAGCCCCTTCCTCTCCGCTTCCTCTCCCCTTCCTCACCATGAGCTGAGCAGCTTTCTTCCACCACATTCCGCAGCCATGATGCTCTTCTGTGGAGTCAGCTGATCAGGGACTGAACCTCTGAAACCGGGAGCCAAAATAAACCTTTCCCCCACTAAGCTGTTCTTGTCAGGTATCTGGGTCCCAGTGATGAAAAGCTGACTGGCACAGTTGGAAATCTTTGAGTTCTTCCTGTTCTTTATAAAGCATATAATAAATTCTGGTGAACTACAGTCATCCTGCTGTGGGGTAGAACAATAGTCCCCATTGCTCCTATTTAATTGTATTTTGGTATTTATTTTATATGGTGGCCCAGAATCTGCTCACACTTTGCAGCTCTTGTGGCCATGCCCAGGCCCCATCCCATAAAGGAGAGAGCCTCAAGATTCCCTCCTGGGGGGCCACCTGAGGAGACAAAGCACGCACCTGACCTGAACAGTCACTGGAAGATCCCATGCTATGGGAGAGCCACTAGCAGCCACCCCGGACAGGGCGACCAGTTTCCTATCTGGAGTCAAAAAGCCTGTGTCCTGCGCTTCTGGGTTCCTCCTCAGCTGCTCTTACTGGAGCCCACTCAAAGGACTGTGGAAAGGATCGTTTGGGTGAGATGAAAACAGGGGAGATGAAGAGGCACAGACACAGAGTGTTTTAGAGGGTGGTGGAGGTCACAGAGCCTTGAACCAAGGAGTGGAATCCAGTCTGGAATTTGCTTCCCTGCGCTCCGCCTGGCTGCCTATTCTCCTGCACCCACCCCTCATTCCTCTTTCAATAACTTCTGCTTGGACTTTCTCAATACTAGTGTTGAGAGAGAATGAGAGTCTGGCTTTGTCACTGTTTGAAAAGAGTTCTCCTTAAAGGAAACACAAGAGGAAGAGCCATCCTTATGCCCTCATGGGGTAGCAGATACGAATGTGTGCAGACTCCATGGCATCCCATCAAGGAGAGGAGGCCGAGAGCCTCTTCCCCACTTCCCAGGAGCTAGTCTGCACATTCCTGGGATCCAGCTCAATCCTGTCCTCTGTGCTGCCCTTGTCACAACCCCCATCATTGAGGTTACAGAGAGAGTTTGCTGGAAGCTGAAATGGAAAAGTTTATTCTATTTAAGAAGCACAGGTCTGGGCCACACATGGTGGTGCCTGCCTCTAATCCCAGTGACGCCGAAGGCTAAAGCAGGAGGATCACAGGTTTGAAGGCAGCCTCGGCAACTCGGTGAGGCCTGTTTTTGAAATAGAAGATAAAAAGGGCTGGGGATGTGGCTCAGTGGTTATGTGCCTCATGGTTCAGTCCCTGGTACCACCGCCCCCGCCAAAAAAAAAAAAAAAAAAAGTACCAACCCCCAATGAAACTGGTCATCACCCTGATGCTGCACAGCCCATTATGACCATGCATGATAGACACCTGTCTAGAATAGACATTCTTCCTGGCCAGAAGTCTGGGCAGTGGCCCCATGGGTCTGGGTTTCTGGGTTAGCTCTGCCACATCTTCACTGAATGGCATGGAGAGAGCTGTGGCCTCTCTTCAAGCTTTGGCTCCAATTTCCTGGCCTTCTCCCCACAGTGCGTCTCCCAGGAGCAGGGGTCACATATTACTCCTTGTGGGCAGAGGTTCTATTTCCTCATCTCTCTCTCTCAGGTCTGCTCTGGTGTGTGGCACAGTGTAACCACTTTGGAGATTCATGGTATGAATGACAGGAACAGCACAGCCTATGGAACCTTAGCTGTGTACTCCGTCCTCGACACGTGTTATCTCACTTAAGCTTCCTGACTGCAGTGCCAGGCAGAATATTAGTATCACACTTTTTAATGAGAGAAGAGGGTGACCTGCCCAAGGTCACAGAGCTGTAATGTTGATTGGGAAACTCTACCTCTATACTGTCCTTGGCTTTTCTGCCTCTTGAGTGCAGACTCTATCACTGTATTTCCTCCTTACTTGGGAAACTAAGGCAGGTAGTGGAAGAGGAAGGAAGGAAGGGGAACGAGACACTCAAACAAGACAACCATTAGTGACTTGCTTCCCTTATCTGCCTCCTCATTCTGGAGTTCTGCTCTTCTCCATTTGAAGGTGGAGTGTGTGTGTGTGTGTGTGTGTGTGTGTGTGTGTGTGTGTGTGTGTGTATGTGTGTGGGGGGACGGGAAAAAAGAAGGCATGAAAATTTGCCTGTGCTTGGTGCATCTTGGTATCTTCCTTTGGTGGTGATCAGTGATCCTTCCTGACCACCATCAACCCTTTCATCTTCAACCCTTCTGCTTTCTTCCAAGTTCTGGTCATTGCTATTAATGTCCTTTGCTGACACGTTAGTTTCTAGCATCTCTAGACTCAGGACAGTAAGATTGCTTGAAACCTGGAGCTGAGCACTCTGGACCCTGACGGATGCTTGGGTTTTTCTTGATCGACCGACTGATCAGTTCTTTCAATCATCCATCAACAGCTATTTTTAGAGTGTCTACTACTAAATGTCAGTCACTGTGCTGGAAATTGCTGAAACAAAGATTGAGGATCGTGTATTTGCTCTGGAAGATCTCCAAAGGTAGTCTAGGAGGCAGAAAGAGAAACTGGCTATTATTGTATAGTGTGGTAAGTTCAAAGTCAATAGAGGCAGAACACCGACAGAAGCATCGCTAGAAGCATAAGATCTGGCAGAGAGAGGTAAAGGTTCCCATGGCAGCTGGAATTTGAAGAGACACTGGACAGGATTGTTGTAACTGGATTAAGCAGAATCTCAGAAGTGCAGCTAAGACTTAGGGCCTGTGGTCTACAGAAACCATTCTTGGGAGTTTGGCACTACTATTTGGGTTAGGTATTTTTCATATATTTTGTATGAAATTTACATTAGGTATTCAGTGAGGAAAGTAGGGCTCAGGAGGTCGAATTCCCATTCTCCCAAGATCACATTGTAAGTAAAGGAGGCAGGATTTCAACCAGGGTCCATATGACTCCAAAATCTATGCTGTCGTCCACTGCAAGAGTCAACATCCTACCTGAATTTACTGGTTTCATAAACATCTCTGTTTTTTATGCAGAGTGTCTACTACTAAGTGTCAGTCACTGTGCTGGATATTGCTGAAACAATATCCCACACTGCTCCTATTTGCACATGCAGTCTCATGGAAAGACGAACCGAGAGAGAACCCTAGGAGCAAAAAGAATGCAGAGTCCAGAGATCCAGGGCTGGGACCAAGCAAAGAGGGTGCCTCTAGGCTCACAAGAGAAGAGGATCAGTGTTTCAGTGGCATATCCAAGCCAAACCTTTAACTCATCACCATCACTAACTTCATAAAGATGATGAATAAAAATTTAAAAAAAACAACCTTTGCTTTGGTAGCATTTCTCTAAAAGAAAATATCCCGGCTCCACCTGTAAACAAGTTGGAGCCAGAAATGCTTATAAAAACAAATAAAAACACATCCTGTGCTTGCGCCCAAATGATTATCGGTCCCTTAACAGGACAAAGGAGATGGGTCTTTGCTACATGTTTCATAAAGAGTGAGCAGTGGTAGTCTTTACAAGGTCCAACAGGAGCCAGAAACAGCTGCACAAAACAAAGGTGACCTCAGGCTGCATCAGCAGGAGCTGATATCTGGCGAGAGGGAGGTCTAAGTCTGATTTTTGCTCAGCATCCAGTGTTCCCACCTGGATGAGAAAAAATGTCAGCTCAGGCCCTAGGCTCCTGGATCGGAAAACCGAGGCTTTCCATTTAGAGGATGGTGGCCAGGAGGAAATGTCGCAAAGTATTTCACATGAGACAGAAGAAGAAGCTGGGGATGCTCACTGACATTGATTTACAGAAGTTACACGGTGCCTTTTCTGTTGTCACAGTTTCCAAGAGCTTCCCTGGAGAAGGAAGATCAGACTCTCTTTCTTTATGGTCAGGCAGGATCAAGGACGTAGACTGCAAGTCCTACAGGGGAGGCCTTCCCATAGTGATGTCCAGAAACAGGATGAACTCTTCCTTGAATAGTAAGGCTGTCAAGGGAGGTATCTAGAAACCCTGGGGAGTACTAGACTGCATGCTCTGTCATGCCACTCAAACTTCCACTCTAGGAACAATGACATTCTTTTTTCCCTTATTATTGAATGGACCAAAGAAGACAAAATGATAATCTAACAGAGGTGGATCATAAATCCAAAATGATGTATTCCAGAGGACACAACCTCTCTCCCCAAAACCCATCTCCTGAATCTCTTCCCCATCGCCAAAATGTCCCCTGAAGAATGGACTCACCTTTCTTCTCAAAGTCCACCTTTTCTTCGCCTGGCCGTCCCAAGCTGTCCAAGGTGTGGGTCACCTGGCTGCCAAACTCATCCTCCCGGGAGACGTGGTTGGCCCGCCGGGGCGGGTCCTCCTCCTCCTCATAGTCATAGTCATCCAGGATGGGGGTCTCCCGGATGGGCACTCCGATGACAGAATTGTGGGCCTGCAGCCGGGAGGAGCGGAAGCTCTCCCGGGCCTGGGGACCCAGGAGCACGGAGGGGATGTAGTGGATCTCATGAGTGGCTTCTGTGCTCGCACTCTTCTGGGGGATGCGGCGGCGCTTCTGCCAGCGCCTCTGGGCGTACAGGGCCACCGTGAACACCAGCAGCAGCAGCAGCAGTGCAATGAGGCCACCCTGGTGCAGGAAGGAAGAACAAGCAGATGGGTTAGGGCTCTTTGGGGATTTTCCCATCCTTCACCCTGGGTCTAGATCCTTGCGTTGGGTTCATAGAGCTAGAGAGACATTGCCTCCAAACCTGGCTTTTCACCACAAAACTGTGACCTTGGGCAACCTGCTTGACTCCTTGGAGCCTTGCTTTTCAAGGTATAATGGATAAATAAAAGTCCTTGCTCTTCTTGCTTCACTAGGTTGGCATGAGGAGGAAATGAGATGGAAAATGGCCATGTCAGAGCAATCCAGCTTCCTGAATGTTGGGAAATCAAGACTGTGAGCTTGGACTCTGCCTCCCAACAGCCAAGGGACCCCAGGACAGTTGTCAATGCTCTCTCAGCCTTGTTTTCCTATCTCTACAACGAGTTCACCTAGGGATCGGGAGACAGTAGCCACTCCTACATCCTGCTACAAATACAAGAGAGCATTATTCAGTCAAGCATAATTTCTACATAGTCTATATTTTCTTCATCTTCAGAAACACGGGTCTTTGAATCTGATGCTCAAAAAGGGACCTGGGACAAAGTAGGTGCTCAATATGTATTTGCTGAATGATTGAGTAGATGGATGAATGGATTAAAGTGTACCTTTGGGGGCTTCCTTGAATCAGAAGCTTAAGGTAAACAAACTGAAGTTTATCTTTAACATATGCAACTCTTTAAATATTTGGGCCTGCATATTAGACATTAATTTGAAAAAAAAGCTAATGTATGCATAGTCATATTTTTCATGATCCATAAGATTCATGAAGTAACCTGGTCTGTGAGTTCCTTCAGGGCAGGGATATTTCCAAGATAGGTCTGTATCAGGCACCTGCCAGGGGCTTGAAGTGGAAAGTCTGCCTTCTCCTGACCCCATACCTCCTCTGTACCAGAAGCATGTCTGTGGATGATCTGGTCTTCCTTGGTTTTCTTTTGTTTCTACACATTATGTGGTGTTTCATCTTGGGAAGCTCGAGGTCCAATTTGTTGAGTCCTGGCTATAGTGATCCCTAGACTCAGGAAGGGGATACCTACTTATGTGCAAGAGGGGGCAAGGCTCTGAAATTCAGAGGGTGAGAAGCAGAGCTAATCTTTATTTTGATGTGTTTATTTTGTGTTTTTTTTTAACCTGAAGTCTTTATACTTAGGATTCTGAGTGATCAGTTTGTTATCTTGAACATGATTGGAGACAAAGACAATTCCTGATAACTATTTATACTGTATGTCACAAAGAAGTTACACGTTCACCCTGAATTCATTATCTTGCAGGTAAGGAGGTGACTGCTGTTCATTGATACCAATTATGGCCAAGAAGAAGCCTATTCACTAAAATGGTCCAGCCATCCTCTGATTACCTAGATCCTGGGAAACTATTGTGCTCTTTTTGCAAGTGTTCACTAAGCTACAATTCAGCACCTCTACTGAAGGTGGGGAGTGGGAGAGGGTAATAAGCTGAAAGGTGGTCAGGTAAGGTGGACAGCACTAGACGGGGGCCCCTTGACTATTTCAAGATCCCAAGGGATGTTTGAGTGTCAGAAATTGAAAGCCAATAATGCAAATTAAACAAAGGCAAGTATATGTATATATCTATGTGTATCTCTCTGTGTGTATAATTGATCAAATATATGTAAAATGTTGCAGTCCAAAACTTCCTTAGAGAGGGAGGTGAGATGTGAGCCAAAGGCTGTAGGGTACTTATTAGTGCCCAGCACAGGGTAAACACGAGATGTAGGAAAAATTTTCAATCACTGTCCCCACGAGGTTGCTGTGCAGAACAAATCTGAAAACAGCTGAAGAATTCCTTACAAACTGAAGAGTGCGGTGCATAACAGAGGACCTCAAAAGAGCCATGTGGCTGCCTCTGTCCTACTGGGACATTTCACCCAAGGAAAGCAGATGGGTGGCTCAATAGCAAGAATAGACTTTCAGGATCCACCTGCACGGGCCCTGGCTGTTGTTCTGACCCTTATATCTACTCCCACTTCACCAGCCTCCTTTGCCAGGGCAAGTAAATGGAAAAGCAGGAGCAATCCATCAGGGCTCAGCAGGCCAGGGTGCTCAGCCTCTGAGCATCCTGCAGGAGTGAACGCAGGCCCCCGTGATGCAGAAGATGCTGCGGAAAAGAAGGGTGCTCAGGAGGGAGGAAAGAACATAGGGAAAAGGATTTGAGTCTTCAGAAAGCAAGTGAAGAGAAGGCCAAAGCTCCAGGGGTGGCAAGCTGAGGATCTGCTGGCCTCAAGGACAACCTGATGCCAAATCCAATTTGGACTGTGCTCGCTCTAGGGATGCCCAAGACAAATAAGGCCAAAGAAATAGCTCAAAATCCCCGGAAACAAAAGTGCCAATCTGTTAGTTGGAATTTGTTTCTGTGAGACTGTAAGCTGCACAGGTGTGGGTGTGATTCATTTTCTCTTCTCCTTATGGAGCTGGGAATTTCACTAGGCTGTCAGGCAGGGATTGGGGAAGACACAGAAGAGGGGAAGCAAGCGTGGCCCCCATCTTTTCTGGGGTCTTCCTTCTGCAATCTGCCTAAGCAAGATCAGCCTGCTCCTCTTAAATTACTGACAGTGAGTCTCAGATTCCCCAGGCAAAGGACAGGCCAGGAGAAGTCAAGGGCAGAGTGGTGCAGCAGGGAAACACGAGTCTGGGGCATGCGAGCCCCTACCTCTCGGTTGCTCTCTTCCCTTTGACAAGTTACAATATGTTACCTCCTTGTGCTCTCTTTAACATGAGGCTGGTCTCAAAGAGGGGAGCTATGCTAAGGACTGGAAAAGACAAGAGAAGCCCTGGATGAAGGGTTTGGCGCCACAAATATCAGCCCCCACACCTTCAGCTTCCCTAGGCCTTTGTTCCAAACTAAAATCTTTACTCCATCCCCAGGCTTAAACCTGTTTCCTACCTCCCCAGGGCCCTCCAAGTCATGAGCAGACTCCTTGGCCCAGCATCTGAGGTCTCACGCTGCTACCTGGATCCTTGCTTCCTCTTCTTGCCTCAGCTCCGCCTAAGTCTCACTTGTCCCTGTCACACCTTGAGGTATGACACACCGAGGGAAGAGCCTTCCCCAAAGTAGGATCCCCCATGGTCTCTGCTTAATGGTTGCTCTCTCAGTCCGGAATTTTCTCCTTTACTCCCTGTAGTGGGCTGAATGGTGGCACCCGAAAGTCATACCCTCCTGCAATCTCAGAAGGTCACCTTATTTGGAAAGAGGGTCTCTGCAGATATAGTGTTATTAGGCCATACAGGACTAGGCTGGGCTGTAAATCCAATGACCGGTGGCATGATGATGGAGACAGACACTCGGGGGATACATCTGTAAGTCAAGGGATCATCGCAAGCTTCCCCTCAGAGCCACCAGAAGGAGCCAACTCTGGCTGACATATTGGTTTTGAACTACTGGCCCCTGAGCTGTGAGAGAATACATTTCCTTAGTCTCAAGCCACCCAGTGTGTGGCAATTAGTCATGCTCCCCAGGAAGCTGACCTGCTCATCTCACCTGACCCACCCCCAGCCCCAGCCTTCGAAGCCTAGAAATCAATTCCTCAGGGAGCATCTTTGCCTCTTCAGGTCAGGGTGACCCCCAGGGTGATCTGGCTGCTCTGCTTTGTTTTCTCATCTGGTGGGCCATTTCCCACTTCAGGTCCTGAGCTGACGTTCACCAGAGCTTACTCCACAAAAGGTGCTAAATAAACCACCCGAAGCCTAAAATTTTGACCAGACTGGCTAGAGGGAGGCAAAACACACGTCTTCAAACTAGTTCTCACCCCTGCATCCACAGGGCTCCCGATCAAAGCTTGGAAGGCCCCTTTTTTGCTGTTCAGCCTTTTCCTGTATGCTAGTAACTGCAGCCGGTTTGCTTACACACACAATATCAAAAATGGAAAAATTATAGAGAGTTGAAAAAAAAAATAAAAGCACCCTGAAACCACCCCACCAAGTTGGCCTTCTGAAAAGTCAAACTTAGAACGCCATTCAGCCTGGCCTCATTTTCATCTATTTTTCATGTTAAAATATCCAGGCACGGGAGAAGGAGCCAGAGAAAGGAAAGAAAGGGACAATGTGGGGAATGCTTTATTTGACAATGTGTCATTCGGAAACTGATTATTTCTGTCTCCGGCCTTTTTAATATTCCCTCACAACGGCCAAGCCGCAAGGGGATTTGGTATTCTAAGACTGGATTTATAATACTCTGTTCAGCAGCGATAAGAACACGGGCCTTTAATCCTCAGAGCTGTGTACATGCATATTCTCCCAAGTAATGTCCTTCCCTTCCTGCCACTTGTTTCTGGTCCTTGGCAGACAGCCCCACGATAGCTGTGGACTGGGGATCCGTGGGGTATTCTATCTGGCGATTTGCCGAGTGATAAAGATGGTAGGGAAGGGGCCTGGGTCTCCAAGTCTTCTGTGAAGTTTCCTCCAGGTCTCAGGTCTAGGTTTCTTAGAAAATAGACCAAATCCTAAGTATTACAAATGAGGAAACTGAGGCTCAGAAAATACAAGTGTTTTGTCCAAAATCACAGAATAGCCTACAAAGATTTTGGAGGCAAGAATATGCAGCCAGGACCCTCCAAAGTTGCTAAGAAACATGGGAATCATGACAATTTGGCCTCTAGAATAGCTTCTTCTATTTCTCTCCATGGCTGTCCCATGTCCCAGATTTCAAAGCCTTTTATCGTGATAATTCAAAACATGCTGAATGATCTCCTAGGCTTTATTTCCCCTCCCCCATGAATCCCAGACCACCCCCCCTACCATAACTGGAGCACAGCTGGAGACAAACCCCTCCCTACTGAGTCCTGCATCTTACAGCTCCGGGTCTTGTCAAGCAGGCCTCCTTGGTGAACAACCTAGTCTCAAATGTAAGCTTCTGATATGCCCTCAAGGATCTAGAGATTTTTTTTTCAAGCAATGTGATAGCAAAACCAGATGTTTACCTAGGAAAAAGTACATTGAACGGGGGCAGGAAATGCCATTGGCATCTAGTGG